ATACCTGCTGAAACACTTCAGTACACGTAACTTATGCTATCATTTGGTAAATTATAAAGGTTACATAAATGACTACCTTTTGGGCATTGAAGCTTCTTCACAGGTATCGCATCATCGTGATATGATGTCTAAAATTTATGGATCAAAACACGCTTCCAGGTGAACCTGGTACACCATAATACGTTTTTTTAGCAGGGGCCGCGGGGAGCCTGTCTGAAGAATTATTCAAACAACTGAAATCGCAGCAGTGCATCTCTGTAATTCATAAAATGCAGAAACAAATGATAGCACTTTCCGGAAGCAATCGTCGTACGTCCATTCCATCGTCATTGTGCTACGACGCAGCCGCACTACGTGCCCTAATCATACATATGCAGAGAGCCGAGTCCGTCGCGATGCGGACTTTCGCTGACGGCGGCACTTTCTCCCTTGTGCTGCGGTGAAGGCATCGTTGAGCGGTGCTTGTGCGAAAATGTGAGCGAACTAAACGAAAACGAAAAGGAGCGGACCTCGAGTGACAAAACACCACGTGGCTCTCTGCTGGCCCGTCAAAACGCACCGGGAGTCCAAAGCCGGCCGGCCAGGGGAAGATGGAAAGAAGCTGGCGTGAGCTCTGCAGGGTGCATGCTAGCGGCCGAAGTGAAAAGGTGCGCGCTTAAAGTGGAAGCGAGCCAGGACTCTTCGGCACCTGCGAGTGTCTGGTTGTGTTTGCCTCCATTTCGTCAATTCAAAGGTGGCGGCAAGTAGCACGCGAGGACTAAAGAAAGAAAGAAAGAAAGAAAGAAAGAAAGAAAGAAAGAAAGAAAGAAAGAAAAAAAGAAAGAGAGAAAGAAAGAAAGAAAGAAAGAAAGAAAGAAAGAAAGAAAGAAAGAAAGAAAGAAAGAAAGAAAGAAAGAAAGAAAGAAAGAAAGAAAGAAAGAAAGAAAGAAAGAAGGCATTGATGGTCGCGAAGGAAAGCGACTGTAATGCGTCGTACTGTACCAGTAGAAGGAACAAATTACTGCCCCTCGAGCGCTCCTTTTCATTCTGTTTGTACGCGTGCATGAAAGAAAGATGAAGGTGGCTCGCTACGCAGCTCGCCTCCTGTTCCCACCCACTTTCTTGTGTGCGCGTGTATGCGTCGGGGGCAGATCTACGGAGTGCGAATCAATGCGTGAGTATACAGTTCAGTGTACACACCGCCCAGCAGAATCTGTATGCATTTACGACAGTATCACGGATGAACGGTTGGCTGGACAGCGGGCGACACCCAATCAGTAGCAACTTCTCCGGGAGAACTCGGGAAAGGCCGCCATAGTCATGCTAAACGCGAAAGAGCCATCGAATAAGGCGCGAGGAATGCGGGGTGCTCCAGTCAGTTTCTTTTTGAACTGACCCTCCTCTTCATCGGTAAGGTATGGATACGGACGGGCATGCACTTTCCTCAAGCAGCTGCAGAGTTGGGCATCTGATTTTTTGTGCCACCTGTGTGGCTGAAATGGGGAGTTTCTCAGAGCAATTACATCGGGAGGAAATTTACACCCCTCCTGTTCCCGGCAAAGGAAGTTGCACGCATTAAATGCAAATCTTCGAAAATGAAGCCTGTAAATTTTGATCACTTACCTTGCAGTTAATATGAAGTAACTCTCTTAGATAGGATCACGGCATCAAAAATGTGTCGATGGGTAAAGGACCTGTACACGAAGGGTAAAGAGCGAATGTGGAACACACTACACCAATATTGGAAAGTGCTCGTCGAAGGTTTGGGTTAGAGCTAGCTGGACGTCATTACACTGTTGTGTGATTACTGGCAGCCGATGCCACACATATATATAGTTCGCAACAGATTTCGCAATCTAAACGAAAGCTCTTAATTCCCAGTGATACCTCGAGTTTGGTGCTTTTTTCTGTTCTCCGTTTAGCAGTGATGGAAGGAAAGAAGGAATAAAGAAATGAAGGAATATGCTGCAAGACGAAGGGGTTAGCAAGTTCTTAGACCTGCTGGCTCACCTGCCATAGGAGAAAGAGGAATAAAAGTGAATAGGAGAGAGTCTGAGAAAACTAACGAAAGGAAACATGAACAAAAAAGTAAATTACGGTTCCAATTAAAGTCTATCACTAAGCCCAGTCGTCCTCAAAAAAGTGCAGTGCTCTCAACATCTGCACTGAAGACAGGCTATGCCAGTGCCCAACGACTCTTTCTTCCGACTGAAAGACAATTTTCTTGCTATTTTCCTTCTTGATTCAAGAATGACCTCGCATTGCTTCTAGGCGTTACAACAGGGGGTTTACAACGTAGACGGTAATATTTCCTCATTTTGACAACATAGTTGCTCTTCAAACAGCTTGTTACGTCCCGCTACACACACGGGGGGAAAAGAAGTATCTAACGTTTACGTCCATGGGCTTATATTAACATATGTTGAGTGTCTGATCCTAAAAGGGGTTTTCAGTAAGTTTCTGTATATTTCAAACCTTGTATTATAGAAAAAAAGCATTTTCAGCTTTGACTTTCCAGTATCAGGTGCACCCAAATTATTCGAAAGGTATTCTCTTGAAGCACTCAAAAGCAGACTCTATTAAAAAAAGTGGGCAATCGTTTCTTCGCAGAGAAAGATATCGCTTGTTGCTTCTTTCCCTAGAATTTTAACAAGCAAAGCTTTAGGGGCTGGAGCACATTTATCAAAAACTTATATTTAACTCACGAACCTGGAAGTCTGATCGATCCAGGCAATATACGCGCCAGAATATCTGGCAGTCGGACTTTGTTTCAAATAATTACTATTAAATGCGATAAGCCACACTGGAATCATAGCCGCAATGATGTTGAACATCTAACGAAGCATCTGATGTTGCTTTAGAGGTAGAGTTCTCAAAACAGTCTTAGGTAATTTTACAAAAGGTTAGTCAGGCCAGCGTGCTCAATTTTGGTCGCTTAGTAGTTTACAACATGCACCATGCTTAGCGCTTCGTATGGGAAGGAGTCATAATTCCTACATTGAAATAAAAGAACAGGGTTTACATATATGCCAGGAAAATTATGTGTTTCGGGGTGTGCTATAACCAACAGAACTTCATGCAACCTCACAGGAGACATTCAATCTATTCTTACGTCCTACCGAAATTGTATATTGTTCCGCCTAGGTTGATCAGTGGCAATAGGGGATCGGCTACTGACTCGAAGGTCATGGGTTTGATTCCGGCCGTGGCGGTCGGATTTCGATGGAGGTGAAATAGTAGAGGCCCGTGTCGTCTGCGATGTCACTGCACGTTAAAGAACACCAGATGGTCAAAATTTCCGAAGCCCTTCACTACGGCATCTCTCATAATGATATCGTGGTTTTTGGACGTGAGACCCTACATATTGTTATTCAAACCTATATAGGTACAAAATAAATGAATGAATGTTCTTCTCGAAAGACCTCCCCAATAACAAGTGGCCTATCAATACTTCTGTCTCTTTGAAGAGACAGGACTTTATATAAAAGTGGAATGCATCTAACATTGTGGCTGCCCCACCTGGTTTCAACAGAGATTCGTGCTTACCTGAAAAAAAAAGAAAACAAAGAAAAAAAACAAGAAGAGAGAGAGAGGCAACATATTCTCGTTCTTGAATTTTGACCCTTCCTTATTATAAGTACAGGAAAATATTTCGAAATGATATAGCGAGAACTTTATCACGATTGCCAAGATAAACGCACCCGATCCCTCAATCTGCCCGGCATACGCCACCATACTACAATGAAAGGATCCGCGGTCGTAGTTCAGCAGTGGCACCACCGCAAATCTATAGGTACAAAGTTTCCTCATGTGCAGTCATTTGCGTATAGTTAATGCCTTGCATAGTTCATATGAAGCTCACAGCAGAAATTGTTGACGACACCCCTTAATTCATACATAGTTGCCAATACTGTTGCAATAAACGTTAATTTTGTGCCAACATGGTGTAGGCGGTGTGGAATATAGGGTCGATATGGCATAGCCTGCCCAGAGAGACTTCCACTGCTATACGCGAGAACCCGGGCAGTTCAGGTATCGCGCACGCTGACTTGTTAGCTTTGAATTCTGCAATGTAATAACCATATTGCCAAAATGTGTATAAGTAACTGAAAGTCTACGTGTGTATTTGTTAAAGTTTTTCGAAACTTCTTACGAATTTAATATTATATTGTTTGCAAATGTGTTTTCTTCTTCTTGTCCGTTTTGTCGACATCTACTCAATGATCCCGTGGCATGCTCACTGTGATAGAATGTATTGATTGACTAGATCCTTTACTAAAGAAATAAGGAGGCACATATTCTTTTTTTGGATAGATAGGGTTTTGCCAGACTGCAGAATTTCATGGAAATGCGGAAAATTTAAATGGGACGCAGCGGCTACGTTTGCCTTTACGCCGGTAAAGTTTAGGTAAATTCTAGCTTTCCTATTACTTACAGTCTTACCTTTCACCTCGGCTTGCGATATTTTTCTTGCTACGCTCTGCATTAATATTTCACTCACTTTTCCCCTTCTCAGTGCTATGTGGCTGATTAGACTTCATAGATTTTGGCCGATCTCCCTCTTTCTGTAAATAAATCTAGAATCGAGTTTCCAACCCTTTCAGTTGTTCCTAAATGCTACTTCACATTGCTCAGTGAGCCTCGCCACTGATATGTCTGGAATCACGAGTGGCTGAAACGTTATGTAGGAGAAATTCTAGGGTAAGATGATTCTATCAATACGGGCTCTGCTGTATTTATTGTCTTGCCATAATGTCAAGTTGCACTTTGCGTATGTGCTGGCGATGATTACGTATGAGTAAGAAAATCTTACCGGATTTTTTATTTTCGTGGTCACATAGTAGACTTTATTGTCAACTTGTAGACGGATGCACCGTGTGGCTGTCATATTTGTCGACTTTAATTAAAGAATTCGAGATTGTTGCACATGGAACAATCATGTTCCTCTCTTTCAAACCAAATAGGCGTAATACTGTCTTTTCACAAAAAAAATATATCGAGTAACACACAACACCACAACATTCCAATTTTCTTGTGCAGAAACACTTGACGTTTATTCAACACGTGAACTTTTTTTTGTGCGCATTTTTGTTGTGACACAAGGTATATGACGATTGGTGAAAAGGCACTTCTTTTCAGGAATGCGTAATGAAACATGAGGCGCGATCAACTTTTTATAACTTAACAAATACTTAACAAACACACTAACGCACACAACGGTACTATAGGAACTCTACACTTCAAAAGTAACTTATGTACAACCTTCATATAAAATTAAGTTTGGTGCGAGCATTTCAAACAAGCTGTACATATGATACAAACATTTGCTCCAGTTTGTGGACGGGTGTCATGGCTGCCCAAAAAAGAAGTTGTCCATCATGTGCCTGTACGTAGCGGACCACATAACATACGGAGTGTTGCGTCCACTTGCAACTGCAGGTACAACACGTGTGCAAGACTGAACTGAGAAATAGCTCGAGGTTGTGTGGAAATGCATGCTGGGAATTGGTGCAAACAGTACTGGGTAACAGAAAAAAAAAACTATGTATGCATTCAAGGCGGCACATAACGAGATCCCTTGTTCGTACTTTTTTTTTTACTTGCCAATGACAGCAGTGTTCCATGGAATGATATCCGTTCACTTCATCACTCGAAAAACTGTGGGTTTTGAGTTACCAGAGTTCCAGTGAGTCTTTGCCAAAGCTATACAAAGTGCATTCTTTACTCTGGGCAAGTAATTGATGAGGAGTGTCTGACGTATGCACTATTAAGAACAATGAACTGGTCCATTTCTCCAGCTGCACATTTTGGCGCTCAAGAAAGCACAAAGCCTATCGGAAAGCAATAAATTATGTCAACTGAGCATAAATTCAATATGGAATACATAATGATCAGATGTACTACTTGGCTTATTGCATACGAAGCAACTAGATAACAATGGAGTATGCAATTTATATTGGGCCTTGTAGAGTGAACGTTTTTTTTTAAGAACAAGATAAGAGACGCTAATACGGCGACAGCGGAAAATGTTTCCGAGAAACAGGACGGAACAGCGACATTGCACCGTCGTTAAGGAATGTAGCAAGAAAAATTGTGCTGCAATCGTCCACATAGATTTTGACGAAGTCCAAGCAAGAATGTTCAGAATATAAGATAAAGTTTAGACTTGAAAAGGCAGAGCTTCAGTTGTTGATAAGAAAATATTCAGACGTAGTTTCTAATTTTGCTAATATATATTAAATATAACCAAATCTTTTACTCTCCGTTTTCTTGGTTACAGGGCCAATGCAAGTGGTATTAGCGATTTAAAAGTTAGCCACACTTATGTGAAAATCTTTGGTCCCGTCAAAATTCGGCACTACTATGCTAATCACTACATGTTAGGTGCTTTTGTCCTGCCTACTGCCAGCGAGCAGAGAAGTGCTTAGTCAAAATCGACCCCTCTTCTATATTCGTGTAGGTAAAGCTTGATACAAGTGCGCTCGGAGGGTGACAGCTCTCGAAAACACCAGGTCAGCTTTTCCATCCCTATACTTAACAACTGTTCAGAACCATCGAGCATGACAATGCAAGTTCACGTCGTTCTCCAAGTACCGTATACGAAAACTCCGTCCGACTTCATGTTGGAAAACAGGGCGAATTGCAATATTTGTTTTTTAAACTAAGCAACTCCAGTAAAGATGTCTGAAGATAGCATTCTCAAAATTTCATTGAGCAATAATTTAAGGCTCCATACAAAGGGATCTCGATCGGTGTTTACTGGACTCGTTACATCTTGGGCACAGATATAACAAGCCTGCAGCAGCATCGAAAGTACACACCAAACATTTCAGATAGGTCGCGCAAGGAATCATGACCCATCTCGTCCATATCAGTAGCGGTAATGCATTATCAGTGGGCAAACACTGAACTGACCAGATGCACCGAATGAGGTCAAAGCGTAACAGGCACGCGACATTGTAATGTATTTGGCACAGCGCGCCGAGTGCTGGACAAGTCCATCAACGGTCGCTACCAGGGCCTCCAGACGGGGTCTCCGAACATCGCTGCCGGGGCCCGGCGTATGACGCCGAACGTGTGCTGCTCCAGCTCGGCCACGTAGTTGTCGTCGCTGGCGGCCGACGTGGTCGACTCGGAGTCACTAAAGGGGCTAGCCGGTGCACTGACGCCGGAGGAAGAAGAGGTGGAACAAGCCGAGGAGCGACTGCCGGTGGCCAGGTTGAGAGGGCTGGACACGGACAGACCGTGCAGATCACCGTTTGCGAAGCAAGGGTGATGGTGGTGACTGGCAACAGCGTAATTAGAGGCGGAAGTGGCATCGCTGTCCGGCACTTCTTGCTTGACGATGACGCGACTAGCAGCCATGGCGGACACGTCACCGTGAGAGGTAGCGTTCGCCGGGGATGTCGTTGACAAAGCGTGCGAGATGGCCCTGGTGGCGCCGCCCTCTTCGGCGTCCATGGCGTCCGAGGGCTGAATCTCGGAATGCAGGGAAGCCAGACAGGAAGCCAGGTGTCCCAGAAGCCGGGAACGGAGGGAGTCGTCTACGTCCGAGTTGCACACGAACCGCGACACCTCGCGGGCGCACTCGGCAAATCCTTCTTGGAACCGCACTTCCATGGCATGTGGTGCTGTGGAGATAAGAGAGAACACAAAATAGGACCAATCAATATTTGCCTAGTACTTGAATCAATAATAATAAGTCGACACCATAAATGTCACTTGAAGCACTTCTTTTATAACGTTTATAAATGATAATAAGTCGACCTCATGACTTCATAAACGTAACCCCAAACATTTCTTTCAATAGCGCTTACATAATTTTCTGGAACGTAGCAATGAGTGGTGTTAACAGCACGATAACAAATAGTTTTATTTGTTACGCGAAGCCCATTTTTCAGCTCTTATAATACCACAAGAATGCAGAAAGACGTCACTACGGCAAAATCTTCTGTCACCGTGGGAGTGCCTAGCTCGGAGGCAGAGGCCATGGACAGAGCTCTACGACAGTTCGTATATCATTCGCAGTAAAGCTTTAGTTTGGGTTAGTTGGAGCATAGTTGAACACATATTTGGGTTGCGCGAAAAAGACACGGGCAAAGGAGAGTGAACAACAGGGAAGTTTACGCTTACTGTACATGCATAAAAAATGTGAATAAAAATTGCCCTGAAGATGCCGCTCGTTGTTATCAATATGATGTTACTCATATGAAACATTCACAAGCGAGGACTCCTGAAGTGAGGCATTATGCGAATATACAAACGTCTCATAGATACCGGAACTTTGTTAAATAATTCTGCAGATTAGCTTTATTTCTTATGTATATTACTTATATTGATCTTGCATCTGTCAAAGCTCGCGTCTTACAAAGGCTTTGTAACGACAGCACTTAATGTTGTGGTAGAGCCCCTTTCGGGGCTCAAGCAAGCAAAAATCAATACCTGTTCCACAGCTACTTTTTTTAATATGTTTTTTTTGCTCCAGATTCCATACTATGGGCTTAAATGGGAAGAGAACTGAGTTTCGACGTATGAAACATTTTAGAGCTCCAAGACGAAGGACAACTTACGGGGCAGATGGTGACCCTGGTGGATGCCCTGGAGATGTCGCACGGTCATTTCCAAGATGTCAGCTTTTTCCAATTTGGCGTTGCGAGGGTTCTGCACGAAGAAGAAAACAAAGGTGTGGGTGAGCAAACATCATTGAAATTCACCCTAGGATGCTAAAGTGACAGCAAGACTTTCTCGAGGTGATAGGTAGAGTGATCGATAGCGCATAACGTGGCAGGGTTGTCGTTCGATGTATTACTCTTCGATATAATAGAAGAGGGATCGAGTGATTGAATGAAAGCGACAGAGCAAGACAGAGCAGCATGCCCACAAGACGAAACAATAACCAAGCGACAAAAACAAACACATTCATGGCCCTAATACTCCATGGCAAATCATTGAACTCTGCTCAAAGAACTTCGGAGCCGTCAAGAAAGGCCCACCTCAGTTCTTTCACTGGTTTGAACTGAAATCTTCGCTAGAACTCCACCCATATTTATGCGCAGAAGCATGCAGAACCATGCGTAGTCCCGAATGTGTGCGCAGTCCCCAAGGATCGACCGAACGAAAGGGTAAGAAAGGGGGGCCCAGCCCTAACATAACACAAGGAACGGGGTCAATGCATTACGCAATATGTCGCCTCCGGGTGGGAGGGTGGGGCAGACAATATTGTATAGTAAAGCGGCGAAAGCACACATGGGCGCCGAGTCGCATATATATCATGCTCTAGCGTACGACGACCGCGACGCGACAAACGCGCCGTCAGAGGTCAAAGGGTGATACGGGAAGAGCGAGGCAAGGTCGTGAACCCAGAAGCCAACGAGTGAGGGGTCGCGATGCTTGAGTCACGATCAGTATGCCGAGCTCGCGTAACCTGTCGACCCCGTCTCTTACGTGGCGGACGACTAAACCGAAGCACGGGAGAATCCCACTTCTGGGGTCGTGTCGAGAAACCATAGTGCTCTAAAAAAAAAAAAAAATGGAGGGGCGGCGTCCCGTCAAAGAGGAGAGGCGTAGAGAAAAGAAATGCCTCTGAGACTCCGAGCATCCCAAGCAGCTCCGTTCTCTCACTACGCGCGATAGAGCAAGCAGTTCCTGAAACGAGTCTCGTAACCTTGGCTTTTCTCTCCTCGAGGGGTCGGGTTCGCCGGTGTGCACGCTTGAATGGGGCAATGGCGGAGAGGTCGATGATCAGATCTTGTCGCCGCGCAACATACGCGACCACCCGCGTTTCACGCGTTTACACACGCCTCCGGGGACTCTCCGGTGGCCGCACCTATGCCACAGCGAGTGACGCACGACGTGTGGTTCGAGCGCGCTCACCACTTCGTACTTTCTTTTTTTGTTTATTTCCCATCCGGAGGCTTGAGCGAAGCGCGCACGATTCGCGTCACGCGTGCGTTTCGTAACTATAAGAGCGCGCTCCGAAGTACCAGCTGTAAATCAGCATCAGTCCAGACCGCAGCGTGCGTGGCTCGATACCCCGTCTCCCGTGGGACCTCGAAGCGTAATACGTCGTTGGGTGCGCGTACATCGAGATTGAGCAAGGCGGTGCTGCGTCTTTCTTGCGATCCGACGGCGATCGCTGTGGCGCATCGAGAACAGCTGTCACGCTCGCAGTGAGCCGAGGCGTCTTGCTCTCTTTCCTCCCTTTTTCTTTCTTTGCAACTGCCTCCCACGGATCATCACGGATCAGCAGGGTGAAAATTCGCGCGTAAATTGAGCGTCATTATTATGCGTTCGTCGCTAAGGCGAAAGTTCAAGCCACAGTACTGACGCAGTGAACTTCTACTTGTCGAACAAGGCTAAACAAAAGCCTACAAAAATCCTAGATCATACCGTGCCTGCGACGGAGTTGCGTTATATTTCTTATCATCATTCATTTTTCTTATCAACATTCCTTATGTTTTTAAGTCACCCTTGCGTTTCTTTCGATGCCAAGGTCTGGTAGACTCGTACCTTATGACGAGAATGATGAATGAAGTATTCTATGCTCCAGTACACAAAACAGTTTCGCTCTTGCCACGCCATTAGTGGGCTGTGCCATTCCTTTTCCGCCCTCACCTACTTGTGCTAAAGATATCTACTTGCGCTAAAAATAACGCAGCGCTGAATTACGGGAAACTTCTTCAAGGGCGTACACAGTCTTATTCTTCGAAGAAACTATTGTTAGCGCAAAAGCAAGAACGCAGCAACATCAAGAGAACTGATGCAATCCAAAGAGTTCGGCGGGCGATATTTGTGTCAAGCTTTCATTAAGCGCAGAAAGACAGGTTCCACCGCTGCCTGGCGGGAGAGAGCTCCGTACGAGCGCACAGTGGCAATAAGTTCGCAATAAAGAAAGGCGCTGAGAAAGGTATCGGCCAGTGCGGTCCCTCGAAAGAAGAGGGAGGGAAGCGCGCCAAAATCTGCGCGCGGAGAGCACGCGCCGTGGCTTTCCAACGGAGGTAACAACAGCGTGAGAAAGATGACGCGTAGTAGGCGCGCTTTCAAATACCCTGCACGGGCACGTGACTGACCCACATTCGCAAGACAGGCGCGCGCGCGTTTTCAGCGGCAGCTCACCACCTTTCAGCCGGTGGCCGAGCGAGCCGCGAAACATCGGACACTTTCTCCATTCTCTCCTACACGTTGAATTCAACACGCTTCGGCGAATGAAGGAAATATAGTAAAGAAACATTACGGCTCTCGGCATAAAGCGCGTGTCCGGTTGCCCATGGCCGCCGCACAAAAGCCCAGCAGCAGTGGTGAGACCATGAGAAACGCCCTTTTCGAGACCCTTTCCGCACCACGCCTGAAGAGCCCGGTGTTTTGCCTCCCGCTAGCCAACGCGTGCGCGGGAAACCAAAGGCTTCCCGCCAAGGTCGTATACACATGGTGTGCGCGGCGGCGACGCACTTCAAAGATATATAGGCGCGCCCGACAGTCAGACCCGTGGCCAAATACATTTCTTTTTGGCTGTTCTTCGTGTGTTTGTGCTCCACAAACGTACCCGAAAGAAGCGCGTGGCGCCAGCAGAGGACACTGCGGCCACCGCTGCGGAAGGTCCGTGGCCCGTTCTCGGTAGCGTTTCGGGCTACGTTTCAGGGAGTGGTTCGCTCGTCCCTTTCCCTCCTTATCTCGATGCGTGGGACCACTAGTAAAAACTCCCCCCCAAGAACCACAGCAGGGGGTGTGAGCGAGAGCGGAGCAGCCAAACGGGAATCCCCTTACCTATACGCCGGTCCCAACCCCACCCATGCCAGGTCTTGAGCTACGGGAGGTTTGTTCAAATTAGAGCGGCCATTAGTGCCTCCAGTATTCGAGTTCCTTCCCCCTCGTCTCATGTGGCGGGCGAACAAGGGGGACACGCTTCTTCCCGTAGCCGCTTCAATCTACCTCAAAGGAGGGGGGGGGGGAGATCGAGCAGCCGTTCCAGAGTGGATGCGCACGGCGAGAAGGCAGCGAACGAGCAACCGACGACGTCGTTTAGTCTACGCCGCTGGTACACACTAACAGGCTACCATGCCTCAAGCACAGAAGCCGCCCATTTGGGAAAGAACGCGCGCTCTTCTTCCGCCGGTAAAGGTCTGTTACAATGTGTTCAATCTACTGACGCCTGCGGCGGCGTACGGGGCTCAGCCGAGAGAGTACTATATACTGAAGACCGATGACTAAAAGCCGTTCGCAGCAAGTAGAGGCTCGTGGCAAGAAAAGGCAGCGGGCGAGGACCCCCTGCAGAAGAGACGCCTCAGCTGTAGCTGTATACGTCGTGAGCGTGCTCGCGCTTGCTCCACGACGTGTAAGTGCTCTACCAGACGTTGAGCCATCTTCCTTCCTCCTCACCCGCGTCCACCACGTTTGATGATCTCGTGAGAAGAAAGAGCATTGCAAAGAAAGCCATTGTTGCAGCGATGTTTCTGAGCTTCGGCGCTCTGTATTGTGGGAAGGTGAGATGGAAGGAGATGACGTGGGGCGATGTCGATAATGAGTGTGGCTAGCCGGGGGAAAATGAAAAGAACAAACTTTTCAACAGAAGCCATTCGTCTTCCGACCGGCCGGCGTGTCCGAACATGCGGGGTCGATAATCACCAGGCCTGCCTCCTTGCTAGGTGATCCGTTGCCCTGCTCGTTTCAGCAAAAGAAGCGAGTGACGTCCACGACGATGGCTATCGTTTAAAAAAAACGGCTTTTTGTCGCGACCCTGCTTGCCGAGTGCAGATACGCAGCTCATTAAACAGGACGGTGATCGTCGTTGGCGCTTGTACTGCCCCACCATTTTCAGTCTCTTTTTTCCATGTGAGCCACAGGGCAAATGCTGCTCATGTATGTACGTGCAGTATAGTAGTGAACCAAAAAGTCATAAAGAGGGGGGCTAAGTACACACACAAAAAAAAAAACATGCTAACGAAGGCGAAAGAGGGGAGGATGTCCTGTGGGTTATGTAGACGAACAAGCTTAAGGAAACGCAGGTGCGTTAAATAGCGCCTTTTCGTTATTTTTTTTCTCGCTTTAGCAGCCACCTCAGGCAATTTTTACGGAAAGGTAAAAGCCATTTCTCATGGGGAGTAACATCAATTTTTAGCATCGAATGGTCACACTACGGGGGCTCGCATGTTTGGTGGCTTAGATATATGTTGTTCACAGTTTCATTTCTTTTTGCTCTTGTGAGGGTATATATAATGAAAGAATGTTGCGGGAGCAACTCTGAGTTGTGCAAGGAGAGCTTTGAGCGTAATACCAACCTCAAGTCCCTCTTCCGGAACGTTCTCCGGGGGTTCGAATCAGAAGGGCCAACTACAAGACGTGACACGGGGAACCACGTTCGCTAGCACGACTTATGGCTGACTCAATGACAGTTCGATTGAGCTTCCGGCCGCAGAACAACAGGCTAGTAATAAAAAATACCTGGGATTTTACGTCCAGAAGCTCCATATTATTGTAGGAGACTCTGAAGGGGGGGGGGGGGGGCTTTGGAAATTTTGACAAAATGATTTTTTTTATGTAGACTTAGTCGCACAGTACACGGTATTCGCATTTAGCCTCCGTGCAAACGCGATCGCCTCGACCGGGATCGAACCAGAAGGAACACGGTAAGTAACGTTCTACCACGGCAGACAAGCACCTATACCGGTACAGCAGGTGCAGCAACGTGAGTACGAGAAATACAGGTACAGCCACGTGAACACATGAATTTCTTTAACGCCGACCCATGGTTCGCAAGTCTGTGTCTGTCGCGTATACCTCAGTGCTGCGAGGACATAACTATTGACCATGTGAAGGAGGGGATTCGCTCACTGTATTTCGTGCCGACCGGTTGTGCCCTCGTGATCTCCGACGACAGCGTAGCTCTGGCCGACTGGACTCGCCCTACGCCACCTGTTGTCGCTGACAAGTGCTCTCACCAGTGGTGTCCCGTCCTCGGACTCTTGCGACCATCTCCATATTTCCTATCTTCTCCTTACTTCAGTTGGTCACTGTCCCTGCGCCTCGCTCTCTCCTTCCTCTCTCTCTTTATCTCTTTACCTTTTAATCCTATCCTTTTAATGCCTCCTTTACCACCACCCCTCATGAGCTATTGTTGAGGTGTCCTCCCCCTGAGAGACAGTTACAGGGCTCACTTTTCTGTTCATTATAAGTTACTCGCCCCCCCCCCCCCCTCCCGATGTGAAGGATTTGACTTTGCACGCAGGAGTACCACATGCAGTACAAAGTTTAGCATGGGCGTAGCCTGCCATATTTTAAGGGGGGGGGGGGGGGATGCTCGTGCGTTCTTTTGTATTCGTGTGTATATGTGTACACATGTAAAACTTAAACACCTTAAGGCCTGGGGGTGAACCACCCCACCCCTTTCCCGAATGCGCCAAAATTGAAAAGCCAGAGCGGCGAAATGCACGAACATAGCAGTCCGGCGAAGTGCGGGAACGTAAGAGTCCGGTGCATTGTAACACCTTAACCGACCTCCTAACTCGATCAATGTTGCGCATGAGTCAAACCATAATGTTCCCAACGCAAGCCATGCAATATCTAAGCTGATGAAGTGCACCTGTCGCCTGTGCGGAGCGCAGAAGAGTTTGCGAAGCCACGATTGCATTTAGCAGTAACTTATGACAGCCGCAACAACTACAAAATCAGAAACCAAAACAGATTTATTAAATCAAGCCTGCCCATCTGATCGCAAAGAAGCACCACGCTCTTTTGACACACTCTTAACTCGGTGTCAGCCAAATATAAATTTCATCATACAGGGGGGCGTTGCATCCTTTTAGATTACCAGGTGACCGATAGGCACGGCACGTTCGATTTTCCGCCGGAACGTAGCGGATACGACACGTGCCACAAGTCGAGACGCGAATCGTCCATGGAGCACGTCTCGGGGAAAGGAGAGTAGCGTGTAGATGGACGGTAGCTGAAAGGAATCACGAAGCCGTCGAAGAAATGAGAGAAAGGGCGAGAAAGGAACGTCAAAGCCGTCAGACTCGCCAAAAGTGCCGCACGCGCCGTTGATGGTTCCTCACTGCTATTTTATCATCGTTTCTTTAACGCCTACCTCCTTGATTTCTTTCCTCTAAGGCTCGGCTTCGTGAAGAGCACCTGTATACCTGGCAGCTGGCGTGACAGGACGATGGTGAGGGGGCCTCAGATGCGATAGGAAGACGCTCCACAGCGTATGCCGAGTGCAAAAGAGCGCGACGTGGCGGTTAGTCACGCGGCGTCTTCAATGTCGCAAGACGCGTGCTTGGTTCACCTTCACATGCGGCACCATCGAGACGCGTTATGCACCCCCCGCGGTGTGGACGGGTCTCGGGACGTGAGGTGACCGGCAGAACGTTGACGTTTCTTGTGAAGCTACTACTTGAGGGTCCACGTGAGCCGTGATTGCACGGTTGACGGGAAAGCCTCAAAATAACTGGGCGGCGTGAAACCTCGGTTTCAATCAAATTTTGTCGGCACCCGAAAAAAAAAAAAAACATATGCGTAGCGGAAGAGGGGCGGTGCACCTGTCTCCGGTTCGGCGGTGTTTACGGATCAACGATTCTCGAAGTCCTCTAACTCTCGGTATACTTCGCACCTCTTGCACGCTGTTCGCATCCCCGCAATAGCCACCGATGCGTTGCCAATATAACTACAAAACTGGTAAAGAATGGAGAAGACTAAAAAAAAAACAGATGTGATAGGAATGGTAAGAAATAAAGGAAGAGCACAGGAGTAAAGAATATGTATACCAACTTCAGCCTGTACTACACTTCCAAGTTTTTCTCGGGAATTCAGTTTGTGCAAGTTCCTTTTTTTTCACTCACTGTTCCTTATAATTTCGGCTGTTATCAGGATCAACCTCTGTCGGTAGTCCTGTGTTACTGTGCCGAGTCAAAAAAATGGAAATCGAAACAATAACGAAGTATGTGTGATCTCGTGTGTGAGGCCCTCAAGTTAATACACCTTTTTAACGTATTACACGTTATGAAGTAAACAGCTTTTGTGGTCTGTTTCCCGCTTTTTCCTGGTTTCTAATGCGAAATTTAGTCCCGACTATCGCTGCGAGTAGGAGAATAAAAATAACGTTAAGGTCGAGTGCTTGCTTACGTCACAACTAATAGAGTTCTGCATTCTTAGTACGCACTATGTTTGCCATCACCTATGATCCAGAGGCCTTCTGCGACAACATTCAGAGGCGTAGGAAAACACGAGAGAATCAATAATCTGGCATCTATCAGAATAATAGTAAGCTGGAGATGTTCGTATCATAAATTCACAGAGCATATACCTTAGCTCTCGTTTTCATCTCTCCGCTTGCGTGCCTCGTTTTTTTGCATTGTGCTACACTTTGATTTGCACCCGCTTGCCTTACGCTAAAGATCAACACTTATGCGCCATGTGTGAATTATTGGGTACGGGGCTAAATATAACCGCCTTTTGTTTTTTTATTTTTTCAAAGATGCTCCTATAAATACATCTACCACCTGCGTTTCTCCAATTTCTTCCAGAACGCCTCGTTTTAAGGCTCTAATAGTTCAGCAGTGTCTAAGCAAGCGCGCAAAGTTACCACTCGGCCTCAGCTCAGTCGGCTGAGTCGAGCCTCACATGATCACCTCATGCTCCACACACCCACCGATCACGATCCGACTCGCGTTGTCCGCATCCCCCGTCAGGCGGGTGTAGCCGCCGCCGCTGCCGCACGGTTTGAGAGGGCGCAAAGAGCAACACCTGCTTCCGCACTCGGCAAGCCGCCGGTGCTTCCGCCCCTGCCGACAGAATGCGGCGTGGCCCAATCAACGGCGCAACGTAAGGAGAACACTCACACCGGCCATGCCTCGCCTGGCGGGTGCTTCTTCCCTCTGCCGGAAACAACAACGGCCACCGCGCTCACGAGCGAGACAAACGGTGGCTGTGCGGGCGACGGCACGCATCTAAGAGTGAAAGGGGAGCCGCATTGAGGCGGAATAGCCTTGACACTTGACCCGTTGTTGCCCAACACCGCCAGCTGAGGGACCTCACCGATGGCTGAGAGTGAAAGAGCTATGGAGATTACCGGTAGGGCGTAGGAGAGGGAGAGGTGAAGGGTGAGCACAGGTGGAGCAACACGGGTAGCAGGGTGCATGTGTGGGTTGGAAGGGAGACTTGAGAGCGCATTTGGAGAAGATGCGTTGCTTAATGGACGTATGGGAGGCATCCTTAGCGCGTGATGGGCTGTGGAGATGAAGCTGCAAATCAGTCTAGTGTACGATGTGAGAGATAAGGCAAGTAGGAGGGGGTGCGAGTAGGAAGCGGGGAGGGGTAAAGGGGGTGGAGTTTGAATTAACTGTCTGGTGCTGAGCCTCACTGCTGCAACACGGCCTACAGCACGGACTACCTGACATGCTACCGCACGGGAAGTTAGCGCTACATTTTGTTCCTAAAAGAAAAAAAAAAACACGTGCATCGTTTAATGCCAAATTTTTCTCATCAAGCGAGGCTATACCTTTCATGTCTGGGTCTTAATTACACCGATGCTCGTTTCACTTGCATCTCCCTGTAGTGAAGCCATTATAGGTAGCCCGGGTTTTCATCGACGAGAGAAAGCCATTTGTGAGGAAGACATTTAATCACCACATTGGCCTAATAGGGTCGTGATTGAGGCAAATTCGCATGTATAAGGTTGTTTAAACTTAATTTTATTTTCATGTCCCACCAACATAGCCAAAATGTGTTCCGCTTCATCTTTAATCGCACTCTGAGAAGCCGTGCCCGCGAGAGATGGTATAAACGCGTCGCGATCGACTATACTATCATTAGATCGAACTAAACGATGGTCGTCGTCTCGGACGCACTAATTCGTTATGTTGCACTACCTGCGTGCAGACAATGAATGAATGAATGCAAAACGGGAAGGGATACGAACACGCGCTGAAATGGCTATGAAGTTGCTCACGATGTACTTGCAACCTCTGTGATGTACAGTTGAAAGTTGTTTTTATTTGAACAGCGCTGTCTTTAGCTGACATTCGAGGAACAAGTTTTTATTTTATTTTCCTAAAAGCAGAGATGGATATTTTATTTCTGGAATTGGTGCGTTACCTCCCTTCGTGCAACAGTTTATGAATTGCAAAGTGCCACACCTGAGATTCCTTCTTGCTGCTTCCGTCCAGCAGTAGGCTCTTCAGTTGTGCCAGGCTGTGGTTGATCCGAGCCCGGCGGCGTTTTTCCATCAAGGGCTTGGAAGCCTATGAAAAACCAAAGCGAACGCATTTCAGTACATGTTGGCATCGACGGTACCTCAGAATGACGGGGACGAGCTGGTCCGATTGTAATTGAATCAACGTCAGTTGTATAACCATCACTTATGTTGCTTGTCACACGAATATCACAATGACCTTTGGTAATTAGCGATGTCTCGCGTGAGCTGATGATCGTGCTACTGTGTATGCCCTAATATGATCGTATATGAAATATGTTCAAATTGTGAGCGCCAGTGAGATTTTGCTTGACCGTGTTCATTCGTTTAAAAGTGTATAATACAACTTCCGTCCGTATTGGCGAACGGCGGTGAAATGGTAATGCGAGAAGACGATACGTGCATGGCGATCACAGTTTCAACGCTGCGTCAATAGAGTTGTCGCGAAACTTCCTGGTTTTAGCTTGAGCAAAAAGATATTTCTCTCACAGTCACTCCGATAAATATGCAACGATCCCATCTCATTTTCTATTTCTTATGTCTTTCTTTGATATTTTTTGTGTAAACACAATCTTGTGCGTCGTCAGTAGATATGCAAATTGTGCGTTTCTACCTCGTGGCGTATGCATATTCCTCAGACGACCACTTATTAGCAAGAGACGCTACAAGCCCTCTATGTTCAGGTGGTCGTACTTTGGCATGCATAGCTGGCAACATTATCGTGAAAAGGGTGGTATAGGAGGGTGGTATGATCTCCGACCATGTCCAAATGCATTATTCTTGGGAGGCTCACGCTGCACTAAAAGGTGAAAGCAAACGTGCATTCGGCGGTAGTAGCACTAGTGATGACGCACTTGACGTGTGATGCTGACGCAACTTGTACCAAGGAAAAATGAAGCAGCGCAAGGCAGAGGCGCCTCGGATGTTCGCATCGGTATACCCCCCGGTTGCACGTATAACACTAATAGACCGATGACGATTAACGATAGCAGAAAAAGTAAAGTGGGGAGGCCTTGACGAAGCGTTTTAATAATCCGTTCTCGCACGTGCAGGCAACGGAGTCGCATTTGCATAAGCGTATTGGGTATATAGAGCCGTCGCAAGTACTGCAGGGTGCGGAAATACGTAATAAAAAAACATCTCATCTTCCCAAGCTTTTGAAGGTTGTTAAGACAGTATAATTTCTTCCTTATAGCATATATATATAGCTTGCGAAACATGCGGCAGCTGGATTGTGCGACGATATATAAATCATAGTAATTGTTGCGATTTAACGCCCTCAAACCACCATATGATTATGAGAGACGCCGTAGTGAAGGGCTCCGGAAATTTTGACCACTTGGGGTTTTATAACGTGTACCCAAATCTACGCGCACGGGCGTCAAGCATTTTACCTCCATGAAAAATGCTGACGGTATAGAAAAAGAATGCCTACACAGCTGGAAAAGAAAGTGACAGATGGAAGAATACAGTTTTTCCTTAAAAGATTATCGAGTGCTTGCGCAGCGACATTAAATATGGTGAATATTTGAATGATTACTCCGCCTCGGTATATACGTATGCCGTTGAAAACTCAGGAGCGTCATCTTTTCCAGTAGTAATCTCGGCGTCGAATACCCGTGTGCCTCTTGACTGCTTAAATGGCAATCAGTGCAGTGAATCACATCTGGAGCGCATGCCACATCAGTGTCACGAATAAATATTGACCACAGATAATAATGGTGCTATCCGAAGCACCAGCTATTCGGTAAGTTAAAATGCAGTCAGTGATTTTTTCAGCAACTTGCGAAGGCAAGAGCAGCACATCATGACTCGGCATAAGTTTTCATTGAAGCAATGCATTTTTATGTGCAGGCTGTTGCACATAATGAACTTGTACTGTGTATGCACTTGACACAGCAGCTAACACGCCAACGTAGCAATCGTGTAGGGTTGGCTGGTATGCATACACTCAGCTTCTGAAGTTTAGAGACATCGAGGCACAAGAATAAGCTGAATATTCTTTACACTACGGCCGACAATCTTCAATTTGAATTTCCGGCCTCGGATAAAACGTGCTAACATGTAATGTGCTCTACCGAAAATCATCATAAATATATGAGAGATTCATCTTTTTCTCAAACCTTGTGGTCTCAAAACTTTTGTCGCAGACTGTACGGCGCACGGGTCTCAGTTCATATTCGACTCTCGTAGGCGCAAATGGTCACTGTTACAGAGGCGAAACACCTCCCCGAAATTATGTTACGTGGTGCGCCGATATGCACCCAATTATGCGAGGATAAAAAGAACGAAAAGACAGAGGATTCTATCATCAAGTTAAGTTTGACAAATGAAGTTAGGTTCACGGTTGCGTAGTAGGGTGCACTGATTGTGTACCCCTCCCTCATACCATCCCTCCGAAAAATATATCGAAATTTGCAGTTACATATTGTACCAAGATCCTTTCAGATAAGCTGTGCTAAAAGATAAGACCTTGGTTGGGTAAAGCCAACGGCCCACCAAACGTGCGTCCAGACTGTTCCTCGTATAGCGGCAAAACAACGCCCCAACGCATTCCGATGAGTTCCAGCGTGCGAGGGACCAATAGAAAGCAGTGCAGCAAGGGTTACTGATGTATAAGTCAATGCTTATAAAGGCCAGAGGGGTACATCTTGGTTTCATTATATGAAATCACGAAAACTTGGTCCGTGTGCACGTAATTATTAGCTGAAGCTCACAACTCTCACAAAAACTTAGACCGAACAATATGTTTGTTCTCTCAGCTAATGTCACGATTCAGTTCTAAGGTCTTGCTGACCAGGTGGGCAGTACAGAACGTATTGCCGGATTACGCCGTAATGTGGAAGACGCTATCTTGGCATTTCAGGTCGAACCAGGGACCCACTTCTGTCTCTGTGCCTGGATCTAAATTCCACCGCTACAAAAGTTTGCAGCACGGAGAATGTGCTTTCTAACGTCTCAAACGCCTGTTCCATGGCTGTTTATGGGAGGATGATAATTTGGATTGCTCAGAAATCTTGCTGAGTAGCTTTGCTACGCGAAGAGAAATGTCACCCTACTGTACTACTGTCGAAATTATCATACCACGCACGGCGACGTTCTTCAAGTATCGAGCGAGGGCCGCGTTTGGAGGCGCCATTGTCATCAGAAGTTTTCGTTGCTCTCAACGGCAGATTCAGTTCAGTCACAATTGACTCGCCGTTATTACATTCTGCATATGATAAGTCAGCAGCTAATAGTCGTGCGTTTCGAGGTAGCCATTGCCGGGGTGTGTGAACGAGGCATTAACTTATGCATATCTCTATGCCTACCACCCTTTACTCAACGGCAACAAAATTTGCTGCTACATGAGGTGCTGTTTCCTACTAAGGAAATCTTTCGAGTGGATCGCCTGGGTTCATGTGGATAAAACCACTTTACCACTGCCTGTTTTATAGCACTGCTTAGATTAAATGTCGAATGTTGCCTTGCTGTAGGATTGCAAGGTGCTGCGCGAGTATCACGCACGGTGACCTCGAGTCTCCGCCGTGAATGGGGGACGTCAATAGCTGCTCTACGTCATATAGATATGAGCGTCCAGTTAAAATGTGAAGTAACTGACATGGGGACGAGTGAATGACAATAATGAGGAGTACGGAGGCTCCTGAAGCAGCCGGAATATATAGGGTAGGACCTTGATGAAAACCACGTGGAAGCGCCAAAGCTCTTTATGCGTTAAAACTGGGCACACTGCTATATATAGAGTTCTAAGTTTGTTTCTTCTTTTCCAGAGTGGTCTCGCAACTGGCGTTTTCTTCCTTTCAGGAGTGTGCAAACGGCTTGGAAGGCGAGTGTTGGCGGATTTGCGCAAGCCAGTGGGTTGCCTGATTAAAGACAGCGCCATCCACTAATCCACGTATCGGCGTCCGCGAGAAAATTGTCTATGTATTTACCTTTTGGCAAGCTCTCATCATGGGACATTATATTGGGCCTTCATAATAAATGCAAGTACGCCAAACATATAAGAAGTATTGCACAAAACAGGCATGCTGGGCTATGGACATGAACGAAACCCAACAGCAACACTGTGTACAGAGGAAACCATAAACAAGTTCATATGTAATAAATAGCCTTGCACCCGAGCAGTTTTTTAGCCGTATGCCAGCGTGCTATATAAATTGAGCACATTCGTTGCGCGGTGCAGCTATTTTTAGGCCTTTGCATTACCACCACATGAAAGCTCAGCTGATAGCGAGAACGCCGACAAAAGTGTCAAATTCTTGCTAGATGACATCCTGATTACGATGGCAAGGTAGCACAAAACCTGAACGTAAAGTGTTCATGTTCAGTCATTGAGTTGATATATCATTATATATGAAGTTTAACGTCCCAAAACCACTGTATGATTATGAGAGACGCCGCAGTGGAGGGCTCCGGAAATTCGGACCACCTGGGGTTCTTTAACCTGCACCCAAATCTGAGCACACGGGCCTTCAGTCATTGAGTTCCCAGTCATCGAAAAATAAAGTCGACAGACACTCGCCTGAACGGCGGTTGTACGTGACTACACCTATATAGATAAACATGTTCTTCCTTATCTTGATTCCGAGGCAGTTGCCTCTTTTTGATGTCAGACTACTCGTGTGGATACCGCGTTTCCGTTTTTCGCAATAGTCGGCGTGTGACTCGGCCCGTATTATTCCGTAGTAAGCGAGAAAGATGCCGTGAGAGGCAAGACTATATAACCTCGGAGGCTCGGGATGGCGCGTTGCCTTATCGGCCAGTTGTCGCGCTTCAAAAGCGCACCCCCCCCCCCCTTTCCTTGTCTCTTTGTGGACAGCTTTCGCTTCTGGAAGAGACATGGACGTCCTTCTCTTCTTATGTGTACCTTGCCTCCTACGTCATCGCGCCCAGACTCAGACTGCATCAGCAGCGGTGAGGTGAGGCGATCCCCCAGTGCGAGAGGAGGTTTGGGGTACAAGTGCGGCGGCCGGGGTGTATTGTTGGCTCTTCTTGTAGCTGCAGTGGGGGTGATAACGATGGCACGCCGGCCGACACTCGATAAAGAGTCGCGCAGATTAGAACGAAGGAAACTAAGTAAAGAAAAAGCAGAGTGTGTAGAGCAGTCTGGCTACCGCCCACCCAATGGGAAGACGAGTGCGGTGGTGGGCGCGCGCACGCTGAACACGTGCTTGGTTGACCTATCAAAGGGCCGGACTTGGCAGGAGGCATGCGAGCTGTGCCCCTGCGGACCCTCGCTCGGCGCGTGTTCCGACGCGCTGACGCATGAAACCGCCCGCTGCTTGTGTTCCTATTTATTCCCCCGGAGCACACCCTCTCTCCTCTGTTTGCTCCTCTTGCAATCACGTTCGGTTGCCCGTTTGTCACCCGGACGTGCACTGGGGTTCGCACCTCTCTGTCGGCGTACTGAGAGTTGGCCAGAGATCTGAGGCCAGAACTATTTTTTGCCTAATACATACAGCGTTCTAATTTTTTTTAAGTTGAGTACACTGTACAAGGGAACACTCGCTTGCACGGGATGTCTGCAGTTCGCTTATTCACGAAATCATGATGGTTTATATTTGCATAGGACTACTAGTAGCTAACAGCTCCGACTACTTTTGATAGACTGCAGCCATGCATGACTGAAATTACCCCATTAAAACAGCGTTATAGTATTCTATTCTCTTTACAAGGGGACATGTACTGTAAGTACCTCACCGATTAGGCCGTATACTTAAGATGTAGAATAAAGCAACACTGTGAACAAACCGCTGTCTTTTAACAGCGTGGAGTAAACTACAATTGACATGTGGGGTTTAACGTCCCAAAACCACCCTATGATTATGAGAGACGCCATAGTGAAGGGCTGCGGAAATTCTGATCACCCGGGGTTCTTTAACGTGCACCCAAATCTGAGCACACGGGCCTACATAATTTACGCCTCCATCGGAAATGCAGCCATCGCAGCCGAGATTCGATCCCGCGACCTGCGGGTCAGCAGCCGCGTACCTTAGTCACTAGACCACCGTGGCGGGGCTCGGAGTAAACTTCATAACATGTACCAGCGGATATAAAAAACGCTACTTGAAGGGGCTTGTTCAAAGGGATAAACTAGCGTAAAGTGATTTGAGTTGTAGTGCTTTACATGCTGAAAGAATCATCACAGTTGCAGGCACAATGGTTCGGGTTGACGGACACTGGGTTATAATTTTCATAATGTGAGGGTCTTTACTGTGCGCCTAAGCATACGTACACATGCATTTGGTTGTAAGAAAGTGCAGCCCAGCGGCTGGAATGTCACCCACAGTACGATGCTTAGCAGCGCCAGGCCATTACCGTGGCGCGTAGCTGAAAGGTTCCAATGGGGGATTACGCAGCAAAGGATGAGAAAACCATGACATAATTTAGACTCGATAATGAATGAGGCAATAGACCTGAAGCCTCTGCGATGCTCTACAAATAAAATTAGAGGTCGATGTTTACAGCAGACTCGCTTGAGTGTTGGCACGCAACCTATTCGTGCCTGCCCTTTGTTGCCTTTGTCCACAGGTGAAAACGAACACCACAATAAAATATGAACCCTTAAAAACTGGCATGAATGAACACTATATGCTCGCTGTCAGGAAGAAGCTACAAATTTTCGCTTGATTCTGCGTCCACTGTTTAACGCCTGCAAACAGTATGCAACGCCTAACTGAAATACGCGGATCACGGCGGGACCGATTAATGATCACTCCTACTGGACAGCTAGAGTTGTAAACTTTAATATGTTATTCGCTCGCCAAAACGACGTGCTTAACAAACCTCACATTGCTAATGCTTGATTAGATCATTGAAGAATATCCTGCGCAACATTGACGCCGGAGAGACTGGAATTTCGCAAGTAGGGCAGTACACGCATAGAATTATATCAATGTGCCATAATTGAACAAGATAATTGATGGTTTATGAAAACAAGGTTACACATTTTTAGTGAGGTTTACTGCCTCTCATTTATTTCTTGCACAGTCTATATGAAATAAACACAAACTTGGGAAATTTGCAGCTTTCAAACACCTCAGCTGCTTCACATCGACAAGAAACACGGTGCTACTTGAATACGAGCATGACTACATGCAGTAAGAACAGACGAAGGAGGACGAGACGCAAGTTCTACACAGTTAAAATCATATTATTATTTATCTTGACGCGTGGCTCTCGCTAAACTTTATATACACTCACATGATATCTGTGATAAGATGTTTAAAGAAGGTAAAAGCTTTACTGCAGGTTACAAATGAGCTTGGAAAACTACAGCATGGAAGAATTTTAGAGGTGAATTCGACTAGCCAGTAGCTTAATATCATCGTTAATCCCCACAAGCAACTACCGCTGTGCTCTTCCTTAGCTAAGCAATTTAAGGAAATTCATGCCACTTGTGAAAATCTCCAGCGAAAAACGATCGAAGAAAGCCGACGGACTGAAACGCATGTTCACTGAAGCATCAAAACGGCGCCGATGTAATCATACACCCACGCACACTAGATGCCGGTCTTAAAATCGTTCTCGCCAAAAGAACGTCGGGAAATCAAATGCTCTGCATTATCGAACGAGATCTACAAAGGCGGCTTGAGTCTATATCAATCTGCATCTCCTAAGACACGTTCGCGCGTCAGTGCAGGTTGCACAGGCTGCCTGTGAGGATGATCATCGATCGAAGTTGACCACAGCTGCAAAACGAAACCTAACAGAAATCGGCAAAGGCCTCTCACCCTTCGGCTCTCCGCCTTGCTCTGGTGCAGCTGGTGGTGCACGACGAATCCGAAACTGCGCTCTGTTGGAGGCATGGTCATCGCTCGACGCGTATCCTCTTTCCGCTCCGGGGCGGCAACGGGGAAACCGGCGAACACGAGCAAGTTGGGGACAACTGTTCGGCACGCGGCTCTCGCTACTACTAACTACTACTAAGAGTCCGTGCCTCCGCCACGCGCGCTCCGCAAGTCGTGTCCGCTACTCACCGCACCCTCCCTCTCCGTCACTCCGTCTCTTCCCCGCACCGCCGCCCAATCGGGCGCGCGTGTAGACCCTCTCCGTACCTTCTCTCCCACTCTTTCTAGACGCCATTTTCTTTTTCGCAGCACGGTTCAATTCACGAACGTGCGCCGCCGCCGCCGCTACCGGCGGGTGTGCGCGTGGCTGCCGCTTCGGAAGCCACCTTGTGAGCCCGTCTATTTTTTGTTCTACTTGTTGTTCTTTTTTGTGTGCCGTTTGCTACTGCACCACTGCCCTCTCCTTAGCAAGCTCTTCCCACCTCCAAGTTTTTTTACCCCTCTTTTTTGCGTCCCCGGGACTAGCGTTCCGCATGGCGTCCCTATGCACGTGCCCACCACCGACTGACTCAAAAGTAAAATAGTCGCAAATGAGAAAGTCTCCAAGGTGGGTTGAAGAAAGCCAAGTGAGGCAGGGAAAGGCGGTAAGGCTAGATGGGCGAGGATTGTACGCACGAGAAAGGCTGGAGAAGGCGTCTCTCCACTCACGGAGCGCCAGTACGGGCATGTTCCGTTCCCGTCGTGTAGCACCGTTTGCTTTTATCGCGTTGTTTGCATGCATTCAACGCCTGGGAAAAGTGAGGGCCAAGACGGTGTTTCGCGAAGACGGTCGTTTGCTCCTCTGCTGTAAGCTTCACTCGCGCCTATTTATTTTTATTTCTGGCTTGGTTGTTTGTTTCCTCGACTCGTATCGTAGCTGACCTTCTCTCTCTCTCTCTCTTTTTTTTTTCTATCACTCCAGGTTTTCTTTTTTCTGCTTTGGCTGACGGCGCCTTTTAGACCAGCGGGGCCGTGTTTGTTTGGCTTTATCGCTACCCCGTGGTGCCGCGCGTATAGAATAAAAGAAAATGCAGCATGTGCAAATGCGCGTAGTTTAGTTCTATGTACGTTGGTTAGTCCAAGAAGTGCGCATATGATCACCATTAAGAGAACGAGCACTCCGTCAGCTTTCAACTCAAAGCACGAATGTACTTCAATGCTTAAAGAGTAGCGGTGCTTTCCTTTGCCGGTCGCGCGACTTGCGCCTGTCGTCTTAAACGCCGCAAAGACGCCACGTACAATTTTCGCGCTGGCGACCGAAATCCGCTCTACATGTCTCACAAATGGCGTCGCCATTCAGGCCAGTTGTAGACATCTCAGCTTCGGGAGTCAAGTTTTCACGTGCATAAGGTATACTTGTACATCGCACAGAACGAATTAATATGACTCGTTCGCTTTTAGTTTCGTTTTTTTTCATTTCTTTATTGGATTATGTTAGCGATAGGCGTGCGCAGGTTTCCCCTTCGTAAGTGGGGGGTGGGGGTGGCGAAGGTTCACCGTAGCAGTGCTCCCGCTATTGAGTCGATGTATGGGTCTAAATTTGACACCCCCCCCCCCCCACACACACTTGGTTGTTCTAGAGGTGGCTGCCCCCTCTCTCTGCACCCTCGGGCGGACGCGTGCATCGTTAGCATATCCACTGATAGATTGCAAATCTTGCAGCGTTCCGTCAGATATAAGTGGATGCTCTTGCACATGCGTAATTAAAAGCTTTCTTTTTCATATAGTGCCAACCTGTGTCGGAAATACACACCTTTAAATCTCAGTTATAAATATTCAAAGTTAAAGCCACTTGAATTGGTAAACGCACGCTAGCTTGTATGCCCTCCTCTTTGTGCACTGCGCAGGGTCCCTTAGAGAAGCTTTAACTGCGTTTTAGGGGCGAAGCTCCTTAAGCCGTGGGTCGTGCGTTCGCGATGTATGTAATAGTAGTAGTAGTAGTAGTAGTAGTAGTAGTAGTAGTAGTAGTAGTACTAGTAGTACTAGTAGCAGTAGTATTTAGCCGGCCACCTTCATGGCCAGACTAGAGGAGCGGCACGCACGCACCATTTTGAATTGAGGGGGAAACCTGCGCACGTTAATCATAAATAAATTGATAGTTCTTTCTGATGAATTAACCTGCAGAGACGGAGTATCGATGACCTAATCTCTGATGAAATTTGCCTTGGATTTTATGCTTACTTAAAAAAAAACTTGGTAACAAGAGGACGAACATTGAGCACTATCTAACCAGAAAAGATTGCCACGTTGAACTCGCTGGGTGTAACCTCCTTGGTTTTAGCAAGGTTTAGCGAGGGTTGGGCCGAAGTGCCATGAATTAGCGGTGGTGAAAGTCGGGAAATAGACACGAAGCGCAGGTTGTAAGAGTGCGCGCGTGCCGCTCCTCTAGTCCGGCCGTGTCACCTCTCATTTAGTCCCTGGTATGTCCGCCTGGATGGCGGTTCTTCTACTATGACGAATATATGATGAAAGTTTGCGAGATGGTGGTACTTCGAGTGTTTACTAGATGGACGTACGGATGAACAGATGCATGAACGGATGGACGGACAGACAGATGCTGAACGGATGGACGGACAGACAGAGGCACGGACGGACACACAGATGGACGGACGCATGGATGAACGCATGGACGGAAGGACGCACGGAAGGATGCACAGACTGACGAAATCGTGGACGGATGGGCGCACTGATGGATTCACGAATGGACGCACGGACGGACGGATGGACGCTTCACCCCACTCATCATCATGCACTCCGTGAATATGCTGTGACTTTTTTTAATCTTCGGGTCAGTGGCCCGTTCTTCAGAAGTTTCTAGAGCTGGCCTATCTCTTACACCGTTTGCCTGCTTTTTTGAGCTCTGCGTGACATCGAGCTTGATGTATTCGACTTCGGACTGCCATCGCCGGCGTAGTTGTTCCAATCGGCTTGATCGGGCTTCTGACGGGAGATTGCCAGCTGAACTCGTCGGTTCATAATCACATGCTGCCAGATAAAGTTAACCCTGCGCGCCTCAACCTGTGGCGCGAGATATTTCGTTGCTCCTCCATCGCTTGCTTTCTCGTGGCCTCGCACTTAATCTCGCAGATTTCACAGTCGTGTACGCTTGCGCGTCGCAAGGGGGGAAAATGAACATAAGGAATTTTCATGGCCTCCAGAACGTATGCGGTGTATTCAGTGCCGACTCTCATTACCTGCGGTTGCCCGGTGATCTCTTTGACCAGATCGATATAGTCGAACGAATAAAGTATTCTATGTACAATAAAAGCAGACATGCAATCCTGTACTCGTCACAGTGGCTTCTGCAAAGCTCTTATCCTTCTTTTGAAACACAGTCACAGACTTGGTTATGGCAACCCCTCTTTACAGGCAAAAGCCCGATTCCGGGCCTGCATGGTATCTACTCGAACCATTCTGTGAAATACATGTCCCATGTTGTATTACCAGAACGAGCCAATTGGGAGCTAGGGTACCCCATATCCTGCGACCTCAGGGTGCGTCAACGCCTCGGCCCATTCCTTCACATACGTGTGCCGTGTTGTATTGACTGAACGAGATGATTGGAATGGTAGAGGGTAACAATAGAGAAGGGGCTATAGTGAGGAAGGGAGGCAGGGCTGCACTGAGTTTTTCCAACCTACGCAATCATTGCAAATTCGACGCAGGAATAGATCTGAAGATGCCAGTACCTCACACGTGGGCTTTCTGAAAAGACACCTTTCTAACTGAACCTGCTGAATTGCGCAATGAAGAGAATCTACCCTGCACAATCACTAACAAAGAGGTACTGAAGCAAAAGCAAGGAATCATACGAAACACTCCTCACATGAATTGTTCTGCTTTTATCAAAAGTGTACAGCTTAGGTACATGACGTATTAGAAGGAAATGAAAATAGAACATAGCGTACAATTAGTTTACGAGACAAATACAGGTTTACTATAGCAAAAAGTGTACGATGCGTATTCCAAATATCAATTAATCACACATCCAATAGTCACACACACACACACACGCGCGCACACACACACACACACACACACACACACACACACACCACACACACACACACACACACATGTTGTGCGTGTGTTTTGCATCGTGATTAACTCCCACTCGAAACGTCATGATTGCAGTGAATTTCAAACAATGAAGTAAAATAATTGATTTATATGTGGGGTTTAACGTCCCAAAACCACCATATGATTATGAGAGACGCCGTAGTGGAGGGCTCCGGAAATTTCGACCACCTGGTGTTCTTTAACGTGCACCCAAATCTGAATGAAGCAAAATAGGCTCTAAAAATTGTGGCCAGTTTTACACTTACGACTGCACGTGACAACTAATGCTAATGTATGTAAATATACTGATCTCCCATTTGTGTCAAATGAATTAAGGATACGCCTGCGTTATTAGAAGCAGCAAGTTTATTGTGGTAATGAAATGTGTGCGAGTTCCTGCAGAAACCAGCAAAAAGAAATATGTTAGGCGTATCAAGGCTTCAAGGCTGCAAAGCTGACCAGAACAAAAAAATTACGCCCGGATCAAAGGATAAAATCTACTGAATGTATTTCGAATATGCGCTATTGCATAGATTGAACGCATTCCATATATAACGCTTGTGTGTATGCTCTCTGTCCCATCCTAGTCAATTCATTGCCACGCTTGCTTTATCAACATGCTACACGAATAAGACCTACAAGGCACCCTTGATAAGCAATTAGTTGTGTAACATATTTGTTCCTGCAAATAGCGTCCTGTGCCTTTTAAGCCCAGGCAAGCTAACTATACCATATGCGTAATGCCAGTCTCTCAAACCAGCTTTTGTAAACCTGCTTTCGAAGAATGAAATATTTTCTTTTTACAGGGCAGGCAACGTAGCATTTTGTAGTTGTCAAATGACGTCACACTGCGTTGTATAACTTCTCCAATACCTTGCGATACATAAATAATGAGATCCTGAGAACCACCGTAGAACCGACGTCGCTTTCAGGCTCTTAAAAAAATGTTGTGAAGATATGTCGTTATTCTAGCTATATATATAGTTGCAATTACTACTACCTTTGGCAGCGAGAGAAGAATTGCTAATGAGGACATAGTGACAACCATGCAGCCAAATATCAAAGACTATCAAGGTGAT